GGAGCACATGAGCAAGCATGTAAGCTTGCTGGTGAGCACGTTGGTCTACTGGTGAGTGGAAGAGGGGAAAAGGCAGCAATGAAGAAATGGTCTGAGTTCAACCACGGTCCATTGACTCCCATTGACCTGGAGATGAGAGCAAGAAGGAGAAGGGCTGCTGGTCCAATATGTGGCGAGACCTGTGGACACCTGAGCCCATGGACAAGGACATCGCCATAGAGGGCTAGAGCTGAGAGTAAAGCAGCCAACTGATATGAAGTGAGGGGAGAGGCACAAGAACACCCAAATTTGCAGACAGTACCATTTGACCATGAGTCCTGGTGTGGCACTGTGGATTAATATACCAGACTGCAAAGCCTTTTGAACTGCAAGGTCGGTAGTTCAAGCTCATCAGTGGCTCCTCAGAAACCCTATACAGGGTTGCTATGGGTCGGAACCGACTTGATGACACTTTACAACAACAACAATCCATTTGACCTAGCCTCGGTAATCAGAACTCAACTAGAGAAAGATTTAAAAAAAATTTTTTTTTTTGATAAAGGAAACAAGGGTAAATTGCTACAATTTGATGAACTTGACCTATACTCATGGAGATTTGTTATTGTTGTTGTGATGTGCCATCGAGTCGTTCTGATCCATAGCGACCCTGTATAGGGTGTCTGAGGAGCAGCTGGTAAGCTTGAACTGCCGACCTTGCAGTTTAAATGGCTTTGCAGTCTGGTGCATTAACCCACAGCACCACACCAGAACTCCACTCATGGAGGTAGTAACTCTAAATACCAACAAATAGGGAAGGAGTCTTCCTTCACATCAAGTATCAATGTTATCCCCTCTATACACAGAGTATAGAGGGAGGGACAATTTAGACATTTAGATAAAGGCACGAAGTGACTGGCTTACAAGGTTTCAAGAGGGAGTTTAATTTAAGAATGTGTGGAGGAAGAAGTCCCCACTGAATAGGTGTCATCTTGTCTAGATAGGTTTGGTTAAAAGAGATGGGGATAAGATTCTTATTATTCAATAGTGAGTAATTGTTATCAGGACTAACTGCGACTGTCATAACTGTAAAGGTAGAAGTTTTGTAACAAAAACAGGGGAGTAGTTAATCTTACAGTCCAGAAACAGAGGACCCTAGGACCATCAAGGGAGAAGAGCACAAGTGGAATGCAGGCCCTTATCCAGAGAAGCGGCGACAGGAGAGATAGAGGCAGAGATGGGGACATGGAGACGGGGAGCGGCTGAGGACTCCAGATTCATGGGAAGAGATGGACTAAGAGATGGTGGCCATGAGGCAGACTTTCAGAGCGTGCCCTTTGGTGGTATCAATTATTATATATGCCTGAGTGTTTTTTTTTTGTGTGTGTGTGTGTGTGTTTTTTTATTAAAGAGCTAAAGTGAATAGACAGAAATACTGTTACTTATGGTACATGGAGGGGAACGTGATCATTGATTGTGATGAAACAAATTGTATGATTTGTTGAATGTAAAACTGATGGTCTGCCCTGTAAACTTTCATCCAATCCACAATAAAAACTTAAAGAAAAAGAAAAAATAAATAAATAACCATTCTGCCTCTGCGGCATGCTATAGTCATGTACTGGGAGAGGGAAGGGAGTCCTGCATGCACTGGGCGGTACCTTTACTAGGCACCATGCTGAGGGCCTAAGTCACATGTTATCCAACTCATTTAATCTTCACAACAATCTGGTCAGTTCAATGTCCATGCCCCATTGCACACACAAGGCCAATGCTCTCAGAGAAATCAACTACCCAGAATCACATCAATGATAAATGAAGGAACCAACATATTATTAATTGAATTGCGTATGCTGAATTTGTGGACTTTATACTTGTGGGTGTAGTCCTGTTTGGAAATAGGGTTTTTTGATATAGCCAAATATGAGTTATAGAAAGACCAGAATAGACACAGACACACACATGGGTAAAAATTGCTGCATGAAGATCTTCCAAAAGGCAAGCAATGCCAAGGAACCATGGATGGTTTGGACAGCTGAGACTGTGATTTGGACTTTTAGCCTATGTTGTTGTTGTTGTTGTTAAGTGCCATCAAGTCGGTTCTGACCCATAGCGACCCTGTATAGTGTTTCTGAGGAGCAGCTGGTGAACTTGAACTACCAACCTTGCAATTTAAATGGCTTTGCAGTCTGGCGCATTAACCCACAGTGCCACACCACACGGTGAAAACTAAATTTCAGATCTTTAAAACTACCTGTTTATGCAATTTGTACTACAACAGCACTAGATAACTTGACACAGTATTCAACTCAAGTCTGTTCAGCCCCCAAAACCTGATGAAGTCATCTCCTCAAAACACTCTGGAGGCTCCCTCACATACCTTGGATGCATCCAGACTTCTGCAGAACGCTGCCTGCCTCTCTCACTGCGCTGCTTTCCTCTCTTTGTCCGTGTTCTCTCCCTTCCAGCCCTACTAGCTTTCTTGCTATACCTTGGAATCACAAAGTCCCTGCCTCAGGCTCACCACACTTGCTAATCCTTCTGCCTGGAATGTTCTATGGATTCCTCTTACTACATCCAGGTCTCTGTTCAAACGCCACCTCCTCAGTAGGTTCCAACTACTTTAAAAACATCCTTTCTCCCACCACTCTCTAGCTAACCCTTACCTTCATTTCATGTTTCTACTTGGCTGGTTAACGGCTAATTGTCAGATGCTCTCACTAGAATACAAACTCTATGAAGGCAGGGGTTCTGCATCATCCAATACTTAATGTCTGGGGCTCAGACCAGTGCCTGACATGTGGCCAGTATTCACCACACTGGTTGTTGAATCAATGAATAAATGAATGATTGAACATGTCCTCTCCCTTCTGCTGCCTCTACTTGAGTTCTCCTCACCAAGACAAGTAATTTCAACTTTTAAGAGAAACTTTCTATCTGCTGAGAGTGGCCCTGAACTGCTACTTCTTCCCTCTCAAAGACAGCATCGCCCTCTTTCTTTGGTATCTGTGTGATGCTGTCAGTTCTAGAAATTTGTGATTTTATCAGAGAAGAGACATTTGGGGCAACTGATGAAACAAAAATATAATTATATTTCTTAAAAGAGAAAGAAAGAAAGAAAAAAAAAGCCCTTCAAAACAACCAATTGTCTGTTTATTGCTCAAAGAAACAATTAGTTCATTTAATGCTTTCCAACATCTGTTCGAAGCAGATAGAAATGGATTCTTATGAAAAGAGGATTTACAAAAAGCTGTGTTATCTGGTAATGTAACCAGCCAGAGAGCTTCTAAAAGTGGAATTTCTGAAATTCCACCAATACAAATCTCTAAGCTTACCAAAAAATTGTGGAAGAAGATAATCATACCCAAAAGAAGACCAGTATTCAACATAAAAAGTTTCTGGAGCTAAGATTATTTCTGTTTGGGGACCTTAACTTGTCTCACTTAATGTGGTGTGGTGCTGTGAGTTAATGCTCTGAACTACAAAGTTAGTTTGAACCACAAGGTTGGTGGTTCAAGCTCACTAGTCACTCCTCAGAAACCCTATACAGGAATGCTATGGGTCAGAATGGACTTGATGGCAGTTAACAACATCAAAACAATATATAAATCATTTCCCTGTCTCATAATGTTATTCTGGTTGCTGAAAGGTGGCTCATTTTTCTGTAAAACAGGACACATTCTGTAAAAGAACTTTCTTTATATAAATAGAAGGTGGTTCATTTTCAAAGCTCAGGATTCACTTTGAATTTTGTTTCATAGGATCTATGTGAACACTGTTTTGTTGCTGGCATCTGAGGGGCTGTTGTTTCCTGGATCTTCTTAGTTTTTCTCTCTTTCTTAATACACGATACTTCAAAGGGACTCTTGGCTTCAGGCTTCGGCCAGGCTCAAGGGCATCATACCAGAGAGATAAGAGAATGGTCTTCTGAGGAAATTTAAACTAAACTCAGAGTTTACAATTTTTAATCAAACCATATACTTCCTCACTCTCACAAGGTGGGAGATAATAAAGCTTTGCTGAATAGACAAATACCAGGTAAGATAAACCTCTCTCTGTAAGCGATTTCATTTCCAAAGGAGGAAGAAAAAAGTAGTTCATATTCTTTTTTAGATGCCAATGCTTGACCTCGGTAGGAAAAGTTGTAGAGGAAAACTGAAGAGGTTACAGTTGAGACGAGAACTAGACACAGATGAGAGTAGACACAGAGTAGAGTTGTCTGTCATGAATGTGTTAGTCAGAGCACACGCAGCCCGAAAGATTGCATCACCACGGTAACTCAGGGCACACAACTCCACAATTCCAGATCTTTCCTTTAATTATGCTATATTTGATCATAAAATCTGAATATTCCTGATATTTATAGTCAGCAGCCAAGCAGACATACTCTCTCATTAACAGTGAGTTTAACTGAGGTCCAAATATAGTTCTTTGTATCACATGCTAATGGTTGGTCACATAATAATCACACTTAAAAAAAATCATTTTTATGGTTAAGATTATCCTTCAAAAGATATTTATAAAACAAAACAAAACAGGGAGTAAGTGGGATGAGGGATGTTACATGGAGGGGGCTATAATCATTGAGATGAAACAAAGCGTATAATTTGTTGAATGTAAAACTGATGATCTGCTCTGTAACTTTCACTCAATTCACAATAATCATAATAAAAACAAGGTACAAGGGAAAAAAAGCCACAAGTAGCTTAGTGATACTTTTAAGCATTATTTAAAATGCTGTGTCAGAGCAAAGGAATGTGTGCATCTCAGACTAACTGATAAAATTCCAATCCATGTTCTCCATGTGTATTATTAATGCTATAATTATTTTGATGTAGTCATCAATTTAGGCTGCATTCCTAAACAATCTTAGAGAATATAGCATTATCATCCAAGAACACTTCCTTTCATTATAGTCATGTTTCTGGATAGTCCGCAGTTATCAAAGAAGGAAATGAAACAACGTATGTGATGTGTAGCCTCTAACAACCAAAATGTGTGCATTTTTATTATATTCAGCTTACCTTTTCATTCCATGCCCACAGTCCAATTCCAAGAAATGCTATTCCCAGAAACTGAAATTAAAAAAAAAAATTAAAAGTAGCTTAAGTATAAGGGTAAATATCTTGTTTTTATAAATACAAATAAGAATGTTCTTTTGTCACTTAACTTGGCTGGGAAATAGCTTTTTCTAAATTCTGACCAGGAAAGGAAATATAGAATCTTCACCATAGTCTTTACCAGGAAAAGAAATATCATAATCTTCTTGTCTAAAATTATGAGGCATTAATAAGAGTTGCAGATACTTGGTGCTAAGAAATCATTCAGATTATGAATAATAATAATTAAGTAGACCCTGAAATAAAATGAAAGTCGTCAATAACGGTGTAGCTGTCTGTGTTGGGAGAGACAACATGGAGTGCCCCCAGAAATCTGAGTCTGCTCACTAGAAATGGATCACCAGGGCCAAGGATTTAGAAGAGCATAGAACCCTAAAGCTGGGAATTCTCTTCTCCCCATCATACCATTATAAACCTGTCACGTCAAAGAGGGCATGCAAAAGTCCCAGGTATCCCTCAACAAGTTCATTATCACTTCTTCAAATGTAGATGCCAATGCTTGACCTTGGTAGGAAAAGTCCAATGCAATCCAGACAAGATTCCTAGAGTCTTCTACTTTTTAGAAACCGTTCTGAAGGCTTCCACAACTCTTCCTGATTTTAACTCCATTCCAGCACCTCATGCATAACATGAAGTACACAGGCAACATGCAGGATTGAGTTAAAGACGAATACAAAGAAGCACTCCATCTCCATATGTCTAGCAATCACCAAGCATCATAATTGCTCCGTTCCATCATATAGCCTCTGCGTATTGGGACAGGTAAGGAGGGAAATCAGTCAGTAGCCAGGGGAACTTCCATTTTAACTAGTTCTCCATGTATATTTCAGTTGCTCTAAGATACAAATTTCCCCTTACATTTTCATATCTCAGAAATTGGAATGTGTCTCAAAATCCACAGTAGCGCATAGTTTAATTGGGTGGCTTTCCTCCCCCTTGATTGTGCCTAAAACAAGAGACTGCCTTATAATTGAGGTGTCACAGACTTGATGACACATTGTACAAAGCTGTCCACCCACTAAGAGCTCAATGATCAAGACTGAGCGTAACTGGCCATGAGGAAAGATACATTTTATTCCTTCTTTTTATTATCAGTAGCAATTCTGCATCTCCTTTCCAAACAATGAAGTGAAAGGAGATTGGGCAGGCTGACAAGCAGTTTCAGCCCGATGTCAGAAGTTGTTGTTGTTAAGTGCTGTCGAGTCGGTTCCAACCCATAGCGATCCTGTATAGGGTTTCCGAGGAGCAGCTGATGAGTTTGAACTGCCAATCTTGCAGTTCAAACTGGGTTTGCAGTCTGGTGCATTAACCCACAGCGCTACACTAGGACTCCTATGTTAGCAGTGCACATTGTTTATTTAGCTGACATCTTGATTAAGTTAAATGTCAGGAAGGCTGTCTGTCCACTAAGAGAGGTGCCCAGATAAAACATGAGTGGGCATGATTACTCTTTATAATTTTAGGGAAATCTGACAACCATCTACTTGGGGAGGTGTTCACCATTTGTAGCAGGAGTTAGTTACTGATACTTGTAGACAGTGGTTAATAAATCCAAACAGGACTGGAAAAAGAGCAGGACTGAGAGAAAAGAAGCAAATGAAAAAAGAAAACAACCAACAAAACAGAAAGAAAAAGATATTGGTGCTTTGAAAGTACAACTTTCCAGATGATTGTCCCAAAGTTTGAAAAATATGTGGCTTTCTGCTTCTGTAAAAATTATAGTTTTGGAAATCATAGACCAGGTTGCGAAGAGTCCGAAGAGACTTGATGGCAGTGGGTTTTGTTTTATTTTTATTAACAATAGGGTAAGAACTCACAAATACACATGATCCAATCAGACCTGGAACGTATGGGAGCACACAGTTAAACTTTCAACTTCACACACATGACACCAAACCTAGCCCATGACAGGCCTTTCTAATTCTTGAGCTTTTCACAAACATTGGGTATATCCCCTTTTGGTGGTTAATCGAATGTATCAACTTGGCTAGGTTATACTGTCCAGTTTCTCAAGCAAACTAGTCTAAATGTTGCTGTGACGCTGTTTAGAAGACGGGATTAACATTTACCACCCAGTCGAACTGAAGGCTTGAAGAGCAAAAATGAGGTTTCCAGCAGAGGGTAAAATTCTGCCTCAAGACTGTAATATAGATAATCCTGCCTAATTTTCCAGCCTGCCAGACTGTCTTAAGTATGTCAGCCTGCCCTACAATATTAACTACTGCCTGAAGGAGGGAGGGAGGAAGATACACATAGGTGTGTGTGTGTGCGTGTGTGTGTAAAACAAAAAACAATTACTGTCAACTTGATTCTGACCTATGTCGACCCCATGTGCTGCAGAGTAGATCCATAGGTTTTTAAGGCTTTGACCTTTTGGAAGGAGATTGCTCTTCCAAGGTTCCTCAGGGTGAGTTCCAACCACCAACCTTTCAGTTAGTAATTTAGTGCTTACCCATTTGTGGCACCCAGGGACTCTACATGTACACACGTACATATATGAAGAGGGCTTCAAAAAGTTCTTGGGAAATAGAATTAAAAGGTCATAGAACTTTCCCAGGAACTTTTTAAAGCCTCCTCGTATATACTTCCATTGGTTCTATTTCTCTGAGGAATCCTAGCTAATGCATACCAGATCCAGTATTTGACCACAGTGACACTACAAACAATGGGTAGATTGTCGTGACAGGGGGCACTGTGATTAACTGTCTCTTGCTGCTGAAGAGGGTGGGCATGTCACTGCTGAAAATCCCTTCCTAATCATGAACAAAGATAGACTAGGAAGAAAGAGTGACGAACTACTTCCAAATCTTTAGTCACTGAAAACCTTATGAATAGCAGAGAAACACTGTCAGATACAGGGCCGGAAAACGAGCCCTTCAGGTTGAAAGGCACTCATAATGTGACTGGGGAAGAGATGCCTCCTCAAAGTAGAGGTAACCATGATGATGTGAATGGAGTTAAGCTCGTGGGAGAAAAGACCACAGAACCTTCATCTGCTGATGGGGCACAAATCAAAATGAAGAGAAACAGCTATAAACATCCATTGAAAATCGGAACATGGAATGTATAAAGTATGAATCTGGGAAAACTGGAAGATGTAAAAAATGAAGTGGAATGCATAAACATCAATATCTTAGGCATTAGTGAGCTGAAATGGACTGGTATTGGCCATTTTGAATCTGACAACCACATGGTTTACTATACCGGGAATGACAAACTGAAAAGGAATGGTGTTGCATTCATCGTCAAAAAGAACATATTCAGATCAGTCATGAGGTACAATGCTGTAAGTGATAGGATAAGATCAATGCGCCTACAGGGAAGCCCAGTTAATACCACTATTATTCAAATATATGCACCAACCACTAAAGCCAGTGAGGATGAAATAGAAGAATTCTACCAACTTCTTCAATCTGAAAT